CCTCAGGGGTTTGACATCAACATTTTCAGCTGGAGGGCAACTGGTTTTCACAGGAAGGCAAAACATTTTGAACTGAGCTTCCTTATAAGAAAAACTTTCCTATAGATGATCAAATCAGAGATGGGCAAAATCATCCTCATTGAGCCGGTCACTTTGCTCCGTGCCCGGCCCTTGATAAAAACCCCTGATACCTGACAAGAAACCAAATATTAATATTTTTTGTTTACCTGCATTTTCACAAGGTGGAGCACATCATCAGAGAGGACTACTTAGTTGAGGCCATGGAGATGCTAGAATTATACTCTGATTTACTGCTGGCAAGATTCGGTTTGATTGAGACTCAACAGTGAGTAACATTCCACTCAAGCCTGTCAGTCTGCAACCTTATTATTTTGGGGGTTGCTGGTAATTTCATACATGTAAATGTACATGAAGCATTAACTTACATTATTAAATTATTAATCTGTATTTATTTTGTTAACAACAGATACTGTGATGAAGGAATGGTTGAGGCAGTAACAACATTAATGTGGGCTGCACCACGCCTGCAATCAGATGTTCAAGAGCTAAGAGTGGTAAACGATTCTCGGATTTTTTCCTTTGTCAAGTAGCTAGATATTTAGACCACCAAGAGACTTTTTACACTTTTCATATGTTTTATTACTGATTGACTGGGTAAAGAAGTATACAGTTGAACCCTGCCATTTGAAACTCTCAAGGGAAACAAGTTATGAAATAGTTCAAAATAGTGAAAGTTCAAAAATACTTGTAGCCAATAGATTATAGTAAATGACTGCAGGTCAAGTCCAAAGGGAAATGGTTTTGAGTTCAGAATAACAGGTAACTCAAAATAACCGCATTTGAATTAGCAGGACAGCTGTATTTTTTTCTATTATTATAAATTTTTTTATGTATTTGCCCTCAGTAGACTTGCATGTACCAGTATGTGCTATAAGAAGCAGATATAAAGAAACATATCAATTGAAAGAAAAGTAAATGCAAGTATACATGATGTTTCAGTATGGTCTTGTCACCATTATCAGTAGACTTAGTATGGAAAATATTTAAATTATATGTNAGGTAACTCTAATTAGATGGGAGGTGGCATTGGCGACTGTAGTTAGTGTGTTTTCCTCCGGATTGAGGGGTCTGGGTTTGAGTCCTGGCTAGGACATGTGTTGTATTCTTGGGAAAGACACTGTACTCTAACAGTGCATCTCTCCATCCAGGTGCATAAATGGGCACCGGTAGAGTTAATGCTGGAGGGGTAACCCTGCGTTGGACTACATTTGTAGCATCCCACCCAAGGGGGAGTAGAAATACTCCTAGTCGCTTCATGCTACAGAAACCAGAGAAATGTGCCTGAGCCTGATGGGCCACTTGGCTTGTATGCAGACCTAACCTACTTACTGGACTTGCCTGCAATCACTGGTAGCCAAAAGTTGTCTAGTTGTACATAGATTGCGACTTATTATGGCTATATGGATGTAAATATTAAGTATCCCATACCTAAATATTCACATGACCTGAGAGCCTGATCATTGCTCTTTGACTCAACAGGGAAGTGCCCCACCCTACCCACCAGGACCGGCAGAAGTACCACCACCCACCTACCCATCAGAGAAGAAGTTACCCCCCTACCCAGGGGGGCCTCTCAATAGCTTTAATGCTGGGCCACCACCACCAGGTAAAAACATGCTTTGTTACTTAGCTATATTTTCCTTTTACCAGTTTAGCTGAGCCTTACTAGAAAGCTAATGGCTTCCCCTTAAATATCTCTACCATGTTCAATTCGTTATTATTAGATTATGCAGTATCATGCTGGTCTTTTTTCTTTTCAGCCACCCATCAGCCCGTCGCCCCCAGTGCACCACGCCCCTCATCAGGGCCCAGTTTCCCAGACCTTCCTGCTGTACCTACAGATTTACCGAATTTACCCGACAGTGTCCCAGGGGGAAACAGTGCTGGTGGCGAAGACGTGGACTTCGATGATCTAACTAGAAGATTTGAAGATCTCAAAAAGAAGAAGTAAACTTGTTACACTGTTGAGTTTCATAATGAATATAGCAACATTTTTTTTAACTACACTTTGGCAGTTACTAAGTAATCAGCATTTTTCTAACCATGGCCCCTTTGCAGCTGTATCTTCAGTCTATCATTTTTTTAGCCTTTTAGCACCAAATTGTTATCAATATCAGATTTCTCCTCATCTTGTCAATACTTTATTCAGCATTCACAAGATGAGAATTTTGCAAGTGATCACAAAGGGCAAATTTTCTATATAATGTTATGTGCGGAATCTTCCAACTACAAATATGAGATTGTATGGAGACCAGCAATGAGAATATGTAAAGAAATATTTGCATGTGCACTTGGCTTATTGGCGCTTAAAGGATTGAGGGGAGAATTGTTCAAACCTGTAGAAAACCGTTCTGGCATTTCATCAGGTCATTACGGAACTGTAAAAACAAACAGTGCCTTTAACTGTATTTCTAAGTGATGTAAGTTAAAATTGTGGTCTTAGCAATGTTCTATCTTTTGTCCATGTCAAATCCAGGGTATTTTATGACCTTATTGGTAGAATAAAGCAGAAATTCAGAAATAACTCAAGCCTGTAATAGATGGAGAGCCTTACCTCCTACCTGAACAGAGAAAAAAGCAAACAGGAAATGTCAAAATCTTTGATTACACGTAGCCGTATTCTGCGTAGCAAGCGTTCCGGTACGAAGAGCTTTTTCGCATTTTGGCCGCGCGTAAATTGGAGCGAGAGCAAAAAGCGACGAAGCGGGGGGTGGTGGGGCAAGGGAGGGAACGCTTGCCCGCAAATCCCTCGATTTTGAAAAACTCGTTCGCCCACGAACGGGGTTCCTGATTGGTGCGGCGTGGTCATCTTGATTGATAAGTGTATCAAATTTGCTTGAATAATTCCAGGAATAACTTGAGTGTGACTTGCACAATGCCGTGGAGGAAGGTTTGTGAAATTGTGCTAACCCCAGCGAAGATTTACACAGCACAGTCTAACGGCTCAACTCTACTTTAAGTTCCTCCTTATAACACAACATGAAGTACCCTTCATAAAAGGTCGAGTGAACGAACAGGGAAGGGCAAATGTACAAATGTCACGAACCGTAGAAGTCGTATAGACTAGTCAACCTCGTTTTACACAAAGAATACACATTTTCGTGCAACAGGAGTTGTGCAGGCCTGTCACAACTTTTTAATTTCTCCCACGAAACAGAAAACAGGTCTAGCCGTGGTTCTACCAATAACATACAAATATAGGCTTCAGTGTAAAGTTCAGCGGAAACCATGATGGAACCTAAGTCTTTCGTCAGCGCAAATATTGTCTGTGTCGGTGTCACAATTTTGTTATTAAAGGCGTTGGTGGTGATTCTAGGAGATGTACTAGCAGTCTATTAGGTACTTAGCTCTTAAACCATCTTCCCTGCTAGCAGAGGCTCTTTTCCTGGTCATCTCTTGGATAACTTTANGGACCTTCCAACATAAATCTAGCCATCTTTGTTTGCTTCTTTGATGTTTGCCGGGCTTCATAACCATTCTTCTCTATTAACGCTAGAAAAACTTCGCAAAACTATCTTTCAGTATTAGTTCAAATGTCGGTAACCACTGGATCCCATCCTTGAATTGATACACTGATATGCTGCCGTTTGAAGAAAAAAGAAACAAAAAGCCTGCGCACTTGTTACTGTAGGGAAAAATGAAATCCCTCGGTGGTGATGATGGTAACTTAGAGGAGAGAGCGGACCCAGTTTAAACCGACCACATATGATATGGCTTACCTATGTAATGGCTTATCCTTAATTATATAATATTTAAAATTCCTCTTTGCGTAGCCTTTTCATTTGGCGGTTTTTCCGCCATCGAAAAGTGGGTGAATAGCCTAGGGAAAGGAACGCTGTAATTCAATAGGGTGGGGTGAGAGGAAGACGGTCGGTATTTAGAACGTAAGTTTGGCCCCATCTACACTACGCCGAAGGAATCTATTGCTACGGTTAGGCCTACCGTCCACACTAATCCGTCACGAAAACGGAGCTTTGCGAAAACGCTCTTCAAACCGGGGAGTTTGAAAACGCCGGCTTTGCGTTTTAGAGTGAAAGGAAAACATTTTGAAAACAGAGCTTTTCGAAAACGATGACGTTACGATAATCATGTGATTTGCCTGCATGCCCTAGGCTCGATTTCCACCGCTCTCTCGGGTCCGCGTGCCTCCCCGAGAACAGACGGCTGGACGCGTGAGCGACCGATCGTGTCTGTGACGTAAATTCAAAATTTAATTTATGCATCGTTACCGGTCACCGGAAATGTCATCGGATACCAAACATATACTATCTCGAGCCAAATCTGATCATAGTTTGTTATTAAAGCGCCAACAAACATGTGCTGTACGCGTTTAAAACGACTACTCAATGTTTTCCGCGCAGTGTTTACAATTTCACATGTAGTTATTTTAATGGCTGAAGCGATTTTGAAGTCTAGCGGTGAAACACCCATAAAATCTTCGGCTTCCAAGTTCTTCCGGATGCCTGTTTTGCGGTACACAGCAAACTGATTCACGAAAAAGAACAAGTTTGAAAGGAAAAGTACAAGATCTGGCTGAAAGGGTGGCCATTGTTTTGGGCATAAACATAAGCGCCGTCGACGTCGAGCGATATTTGTGCAACGATCGTGGCTACAAGAAGATCAAACGTCTTGAGAAACTTCAAGAGGAGGAAAAACTGTTGAAGACTGAGCTAAAAAAAGAGCTTTGCTTCGACGAATAGGTTCAAACGTGGCGTTCCGTCGGGGGGTGAGCGCGGGCTCATTTCCCGAAACAGCGGCTGGTAATCGAGCCTATGCATGCCCGAGTTTTCCAAAAACACAAATCCAAAATGACCGGTGATCGTTGCGTTTTCAAATTTCTCCGGCGTAGTGTGGACGGAAAACATTTGAGGCGTTTTCAGAGTGAAACTTCCGTTTTCACGTTTTGACATTTCTCCGGTGTAGTGTGGACGGGGCCTCAGCATAATGATAATAATAAGTATGATCAAGTCGAAAAAGTGAATTGTTTAATTTTCTTCCTTTTAAGTCCAGTCTGGAAACCACAAATGGATTTCCTTATCAGTGGTCGATCTGTAGTTACCACAAGTCAGCATTGTTTTTTGATTTTGCTTTTCAAACGTAATACGCGGTCGAAAAGGACACCGAGAAAATGAAAGGCTGATTCGGTGGTTCCTCTAGGAACTTATGTATAACATAACTTATTTGTTAAATCGTTTATAACTAATTTTCCGTTATTCAGCGAAAAGTAATAATACGTGATAAATGGAACCAATTTCTTTTCTTACCCAATTTGGACGACTTTTTATTTCCTTCGTGACGCAAAATTGCTTCTTATACCTGGAAATAATTTTCTGAGGAACCATAAACGCGCACCTGAAAACTTTGACTGTAATAATTACATCAGATGAAGCTGACATTGACGCGATTATTAAGCCTTCAGAATAAAATGAATGCAAGTAAAAATGTAGGCCTTAATTACAATTCATTTTTTGCGGCCGTTTTTTCAAGTTCAGTGCAAATAACGCACGTAATCAGCACACTTTTGATAAGTTGAAGAAATTGAGCTTTATAATTGGTCCGTTCATGCCACAGCATGAAAAATTGAACAGTAATGACATTTTCCGATAATTGGATGGCACCCAGCATTTTATGGCGCCTGATGTGGGCAAAATAACATGTCTCGTTCATCGATTTTCTTCCTTTAAACCAGCCTCAACTCAGCCTTTTGCTCGCCGCTGCTAAGCGGAAACTGTTCACGTTTTCGCAGCCGGTCTTTTCTGTGTAGCCGACCGAATTCTCTTGTCTTGCCATTTCGGTTATTACATGGCTGCCCGAAAGATCTTATTAATATTTCGCTGTGCGTAACAAGAATGAAATCAATGAATAATCAGTGAGAGTTTGAACCTCTTTCGTTGCGTGCTGTGCGGTTGCCACGCAGCTCGATCACCGGAGGAGAATTCTAATTCTCAAAATGTCGACTCAATCTGAGCATGCTGTAAACGTCAAACAGGGGGATGAGACGGTGAGAAACGCTTTTTGACCGCTTTACGCCTACAGTTAGCGCATTGAAACGTTTTCGGCTGGGAGTAGCCACACATCAAGTATTAACGGCTGCAATTCGCGAAAGATTACTCGAGAAGAAATGTCTATACAGTAAATCCCTTGTAATGAAACTTTAGACGGTTTAATTCCGTTTTAAAATATCGCTTAATTTACTCCTTGGCCGCAAAACGCAATTTTTACTGAGTATTTGTTTCACAATGACTCATTTATTGTCTCACAGCCTGCTGTGAAAATGGCCAGATATTAAGTCTGCTGTTTTCTATTTTCAGGAGCACAAGATGGCTTCCGTTCGAGACGACATGGACATGAATCCGATGATGGATAATCCAGTTTTCTCGACAGGAAGTTCTGTCAATCTCTTCTGCCCTTTATGCCATGAAATGTTTGTAAACCCTCGACTTCTGCCCTGTTTGCACACGTTTTGTAAAAGATGTTTGGAGAACCTTGTCGTGCCTAGGTCAAGCGCGCTCAGCTGCCCGGCGTGTAGAACAGATGTGCCTCTCACAGTAAGTTCAAACGATTAGCAGTTTTGTTATTTTTCTTTTATTTTGATCATGACTCTCTCAACCCTTTCACCTTTGAGAGGTATAAATATCTTTCCAGCAAAGGTCGGTTACTTCGTCTAAGAATCGCAATTAACCAGATAGTCTTGTCTCAGATATAAACCGGCACGGAACTTACTGTGTACCGCCATCTTTGTAAAGGTTATATATGGTCATATATTTACTGTTCCACGGTTCTCTCTTTTTATCTATCATAAGCAATAAAACTTCTTTATTTTTCTTTGTCTCGAATTTCAATTTCATGCATAATGAAAGTCTGATAATTACTTTCAGTCAAAATAAAGGAGATGACTGCTTTCGGAAACGTGCGTGCAACATTTCAATAACGTTTCAAGGACAGATTTATGACAGGTGTTGCACATTGTGATTGCTTCAAATTGTATGGTTTTGCCATCGTTGGCTGAGAGGAAAACAAGTGTATACATATTTCAATGAAGTTGTCTTACTATACAGAAAAACGGACCGGTCATTTAAGGAGGCGCAATTCTCGACCAATAAAACCTATTTTTAATGTAGATTTTTTATACTCAGAGAGATTCGTTGCTCTTCATCAATTCATTGTAGTTTTAACTACCAAAAACACACACACAAAAAAAACAGTGCCAACTACGATCACGCGGAAACTCTTTTTTTCCAGGAGCGTGGTGTTGGCGCTTTCCCGCCAAATTTCGTCGTGACCACAATGATGGACGTAGCGGCAGTGCGCGCGCACGACAAGAACCCAATTATGTGCAGTAGCTGTGAAGACAAGCTTCCTGCGGCTGCGCGATGTATCGAGTGTATGGACTTCCTTTGTCATGACTGCAGAAACGCACATATGAGGCTGAGGCTAACCAAGACTCACAGAGTAAGTGCTCTCAGTTTGCTCCCTTAATCATTTGGATTATTCATTGCGTTGTTATCAAATCCACTCTTAACCCCTGTCCAAACAGGAAATGTTTGGCGACCAAACACGATCACACATTGTTTGTTGACCAAACATGTTGATGTTGAACTGAGTGGCCAAACGGTATCAAGCATGTTTGATCACCGTCCCTACGAGCAAGATGTTTTACAGTGTCTGATAAAATATTTGCCGGCATTCAAATTTCGTCAAACACGATCAAACACAGTGTCTAAGCGGGAAAATGTTTGGTCACGAAACAATGTTTGATCGTGTTTGATCGCCAAAAATTTCCCGTTTGGACAGAACTTTACAGATAAGGAGGGGCGTTTAGGCGTTGGATCTAGATATTCAGGTTCGAGCCTCCGCCAGGGTCACTGCGTGTTGTGTTTTTTGGGAGGTGCGGTGGCCAAATGGTTAGCTTGCTAGACTCCGGATCGAGCAGTCCGGATTCGAGTTCTGGCCAGGATCACTGTGTTGTTGAACAAGACCCCTTCCTCTCAAAGTGCCTCTCTCCAACCAAGGGTATAAATGGGTACCGGCAATCTGTTAGGACAATGTAAAAAAAAATTGCTGGAAGTTCCCTTTGATGGACAAGTTTCCCATGTAGGGAAAGCAGCAATGCTCTTGGTCTTCATATTCTGCAGAAACGAATTGATTGCGAGGGCTGTAATGGAATATACCGAGGAAGTGGTGGTTTAAATTAGAAGTATGGATTCGATAGGCTTTACCGGATCAGCTCAGCACTAATACATTAGAAAGCAATTTTGCGTAAAAGTATTCTATTGTTGAAAATTCATTTGAAGACGTTACTGCTATTTTCAGGTTGTATCCTTGGATGAACTTAAATCCAGCCCACGACCTGAAGACTTACTCCATCGACCAATATTCTGCATGGAACACACTCATGAAAAACTAAGGTACTGTACTAGGATCATTTTTCGTTTATAAGTTAAAACTGCAGAACGCAGCACTTCAATCTCTTTTTAAAATTGTCTAGTTTTCCTTTCTTGCTATAGCCTGGAGATAACGACAAGCGTTTTCCCCAGGCTATGAGCTATCATGGTAAGCACGGGGGAAAAAAAAAGGAAACTAGTGTTTCCAGTTGCATAAGTTTCATTAAATCAAAAATAGAGGTCAGCAAGTGTAATCAAATTAATTACGCCCTAAAAGAGGCTGTAAAATCGAAGAAGTTCCAAGAGAACCTCAGGGATTCAGTCTTTAATGAAAATCTGATTATTGTTCTCGTGTTTGCAGGTACTACTGTGAAAGCTGCGAACAAGCCATCTGCCGCGAGTGCACAATGACGTCACACTCAACTGAACGTCACAAATACACACAGCTCACTGATACGATCGACAAGCAAACTCAAACCATCATGCAACTGGCAGATAAACTCAAGAGGAAAGTCCCAGTTGTCACGCAATCCACTAAAGACGTGGAGGAAGTGACGTGCCGTCTCGAGGCGCGCGCCGAAGTGGCAAAGTCTGAGATTCAGAAATGCTTTCCTCGAATTTTAAAAGCTTTGCAAGATCGAGAGAAAGCCATGATGGCTGAAGTAGAAAGCACGGTACAAAGAAAGTCGAAAGTCTTGGGACTGCAACAAGAAAGGTTGGAAAATGAATTGAAACGACTCACCACAACTTGTAACTTCACCGGTGAGTTAAAAGCCCTTCTTACAGTAGGTCTGCAAGGCGTCTTTACGCAAGTGCCCCAGTTGAAATTTTCGATTTAGCACCCTACAGTTTCCATGGGTGAATATCTTGTCATTAAAACAGGCGATAAGAATGAAGAAGTATCAATTTAGGGATATTGTTCTCGTCCTAATGTAGGACTTCGGTTAAAAGAAATGTAAGAGAATCCGTAGAGGATCAGCTTAGGGCGAAAAGAATTTTAAAATGCGTCAATTAAATTTGGTTACAGAGTAGCTTACAATCAAGTGTCATAAAACCTGTGTAATCACTCTGACCAATCGCAAAGGACACTGAAAATCTAGAGAACCAATCAAAACTCAATGCAAATGCATGTATTTGACGCAAAGCGCGGGAAAACGCGTGCGAGCGAGTCAAGATTGGTTTTGGTTTTATTTACCGATTTACATCTGATTGGAGGAAAAAGTGAAAAATGCCTGTTGTGACTAGATGACTAGGTGCTATTGGTGAGGCTTTTTTGAAATTGAATGTCAGTTGTGAAATACTTTTCATGGTGCCGTTCCTTTCAGAGGAAGTACTGAGGCATGGCAACTCGGTGGAAATCCTTGTAATAAAGAAACAGCTCTGTGACAGATTGAATGACCTCATCTCATCCAAGTTTCAAGGCGAACCTGAAGAAAATGACGTCATCTACTTTGTGGCCAATCAGGATGACGTGTTGAAAGCTCTTGAAGGCCTGGGGCAGATTAAAACAAGTAATGCATTCCCTGGCATGTGCACTGTAGCAGATGATATGAAATGCGCCACAAAGGGCAAGAAATCCAAGTTCACGGTTCTTACTCGGTAAGTCTGGTGTTACTAAGGTAATGTAATTGACTGAGGTAATGTTATTGTTTCGAAAAGCGGAAAATTAGAGAGTCAATTGGTCAGCCAGTAAGTCAGTTGGTCAGTCGGTCAGTCAGCCCGTCCATCTAATAGTCATAACGCCAGTTAGTCAGACAGACACACGGACAGTCAGTCAGTCAGGCAGGTCTCACGATTCGTCAAACTCGTCCGTCTGCCAGTTCGTTCGGCTGCCAGACAGACAATCAGTCCGACAGTGACTCAGTCAGTCAGTTCCTCTGCCGTCAATAAGTCAGACAGACAGAAAGACGGACGGACAGACAATTAAACAATCATGCAGTCAGCCAGTTAGTAAATCAATTAGACAGTGATTCAGTCACTCAACTATCAAATCAATCAGTTAGACTAAGCTACCCTTAGTAGCCTAGTGGCTCCAACTCGTCGCTGTACTGACTAACTACTTCGAATATACGTAATGCGTTTAACCTTGTTATGATGTGTTTAGTGATCACAGTGGGGCCCAGTGCAGTGGCGGCGGTGAGGATGTGTTGGTTGACGTGTACACGTCTGACGGGAGAACAGTGCCTGCCGAAGTAAGACCGCTTGGCTCCTCCCCAGGCTCTTCACATGCCCTCCTCTCACGCTACAACTCACAAAATGTTAGCATTTCATTTGAGATTCACGTGTGGCATGAATGACTGTGATGATACATGCGCACAGTAGTAACTTAAGTTTTATGCCTCCTTCGTGACCATTATTTCGGTTGTCACGCAACGTTAGGGGAGAAGCGTTGCGTTACGACCCAAACAACAGCTGCGAAGGGGGAGTCTTGTCAGTCAGTTTGGCTGTACATGTTTTATGTTCGGTTCGTTGTTTTCGCACAGTACATTTTGCGTCTGCACTTGATTTTTATTTTTGACTTTATTGTCATCATTGTCTTGACACGTTTATGTTTCTTTTTCCAAGTGGTTTGTTTTGTTTCTATGTAACGAGTGAGTTTCGTCTTCGCGGGCGTTATTTGAAGAGTCACCCAAATCTCTCACCAGTTGTTAGGGGGAGGAGGATTGCGTGATCGTTTAGATAACTACCGTGAAGGAGACTACATTGTAGCATAGCGTCATGCATGGGAGTCGCGCCAGGAGCCCATGACCATGAGCTCCTGGCGCTCAAAGTGTGCTATTGAAATTCACGAATGTGATTGGCTCTCTTATCGTTGTTTATCCTCTGGTAAAGCAGGATCAAGGGCGCGTTGCCCTTTAAATGGAGCATTATTCTTGGTTTTCCAGTGGCTTTAAAGTAATTGACTAGTTTTCTAATAACTTCTAGATAACTTGTCTTAATCGATTTTCTAATTACCCTGCAAGATAGAGATTCCCTCCTCTGTCTGCCCGAGGGGATCTCTTTCTCACAGGGTATTTATTAATGTTTTTAGAGTTATTTTTGCTTTCTCTGATGTGACATTATATTGTTTTTTGTAGGTCGAGGATAATAGAAATGGTTCCTACGGAGTTTCATACAGTCCATTCAATGCCGGAATGCACAAGGTAATTACTCTCTCAAGCAAAGGTTGAATGAGCAAAGAATTGTCCCTTGATGGTCATATCCCTCTCAAGTCGACTTTTTGCGCGTCCAACTAAGCATCAAATCAGAAAGCACTGCATGAATTTCTGTAAACTCTTTTAAAACTAATTTCAGTTTTTCTAATTCGTCAACTTTCCGCCAAAAAATCATTGAGGATATTGTCTCCAGTGATGTGCCATCGAATTGTTCGAGCTAAAATAATTATCGCAACTTTGAAGGTCTTAGGCGCTCGTCAATAAGTCTTGATCTTTTAAGTATTAGTGAAGTATCACAGGCACTATTCCAGCCACTGAAGTTTTCCGTGCCTCGATCATTAAAGCGGATTGAAGATTAAACCACGGCAAAAACAGTGAACAGTTAAAGAGCAACAGCAAAAGATTTTCAAAAATTGTAAAATAATTCTTATACAAGTAATGCGAAAAACCTTCGTTCCCGGAAGTAAATTAAAGTCGGATTGAACCTGGAGCCTTTACTAACTTTAACCTGGCTTCGTTTAAAGCAATTCAGTCGAACTTAAATATTTACTTTTGCTTTAAGGTTTCAGTGACAGTGCGAGACAAACACATTCAAGGGAGTCCTTTCAAAGTCAACGTTGTCAACACTGGGGAATCGTATCTCAAGTTTGGCAGGAAGGGAACAGAAATTGGAGAATTCAATGGTATATTCGGAGTTGCTGTGGACGATGAAGGACATATAATCATCACCGACTGCCACAATCACAGAGTACAAGTATTTAATCAAAATGGCGGATTTATGTTCCAGTTTGGACGTAAGGGAGAGGGCAGCGGACAGTTCCAGTGCCCCACAGGGGTCGGGGTGGATCCTGATGGAAGGATTGTTGTCTGTGAAAGACTGGGGAGCAGAATACAGGTAATGAAGAGTGGATTTCTAATGTCTGCCGAAAAAGTAAAACTAAACGGAAAATCCCTCAAATTGGCTCATATGAAAAAAATTATTGCAAAGTGTTGATATCAATCAACGTAAGCGTTCTGTATTCTGTATTTTAAGCAATCGGGAGCAAACCAAAAGCTCTTATGACTCGAATTTTCTCCGTGGCTTGGCGCCGGTTACCTGTTTCCCGTGGTTCTTAGCGGCTGCTGGTTTTCCCGCGCTCTAGCGGCGGGTGCATTATAGATAGTTAGTAGGCTTTAAGCTTCCCCATTAGAAGAGGGGTGTAACTAAGACTGACGTGTTAATTAAGTTTTGGTGATTATGATAATAATAAAGATTTTGCTTTGCGTTCTGATTGGCTCCTTGAGTTATTCTATATTCGTTGTGATTGGCCAGATGTAGAGATAAATGTTGTACTTTTGCCCGGTACTTTTGGTTAGATTTTACGACCGTTCGTCAGAAAACCAGAACAAAACATCAAATCCTCAATTAAACTGGCCGCAATTGCAACGTTTTCATCGAGCAAATGCGCAATTTGTAAAGTTGTTTAAAATGATCTATAATACAATGTCATGTAATATGTTTGATCAAAAATTGTAGACTGCCCGCGTAAAACAACTGAAAGTCAGCGCTTTGTCAAAGCATGTAGTTGTGCAGTTTTACTTCCACAACTACAGAAGGATTCTTTCTGCCTCTCTAATCAACAGATTCTACTTTGCTGCATTTGCAGATTTTTGACCGAGATGGAATGTTCCTTCACAAGTTCTCGGTTCCAGATCTGAAAGCCTCCACGCTGGCAGTGGATGCAAACAGAAGAATCATTGTTGCTGACTCAGCAAATCGTTGTATTCACGTTATTTCTTTGGACACAGGTGAGGCAATGTTTTTTGTTTGTTTGTTTGTTGATAGAAACGAAAGAAGTGACCGAGGCAAGTACCTCGATTTGCCTGTTACTAGCTACGGCCCTGAATTAGCATGCAAAACGCTTCTTAAAACAGCAGTAATTTGAACATTTTCTTTCTTCTCTTTCTTTTTATTTTTTCCCTTTTCTTTTCGTTCCCTGAGTTCAATTCCAGATATCATTTTGTCTGCTGCTTTTGCTTCTTTTGTCTGCTATTTAACCTGTCACTTTCTTCCTCCAGGTCAGTCGTTTAAGTTTGGTTCATTTGGCGACGGCAATGGTGAGCTGAATTACCCGTGCTACGTTGCGGTGAACTCCCAAGGACACATTATTGTCTCTGACATGCACAGCCACCGTATTCAGGTTTGTCACCCTATCTATCACTGTGTCTATAGAGCGTTTTTTTTTATTGGGTATCGTAAAATCAAAACCAAAGTAATCACTCGAGCAAACCACAAAGGACACAGTGAACCAATCAAAACTCAAAGTAATTGCATGTAGCCGACGCAAAGCGCGGGAAAACGCGTGCGAACGAATCATGATTGATTTTAGTTTTAGTTCTGATTGGATGAAAAAGTGGCGCGAGTTTTTTAAGCCAATCGTGTAGCGTAGTTTATGCAAAACCAATTACTTTTGGACATTCAAATGGAAACCGCTCTATTGCAATAAGTCCAGCAATGATTCCAATAAGGAACCCCTGTCAGACGAACATACAACCTTTTAAAAGTGCTATCTACCTCTACTGTCCAGAAAAGCTAAGGTTGCAATACTTGCCATGTTAGCGCTCATCAGAGTCCTAAGTTAAGTTTACTTTTCAGTCGAGCACGATTTAATTTCGAAAGTTTAGTTTTAGAAGCCAAAGAGATGAAACCAAATTTTTAGATAGTGAAGTCCCTGCCCCCAACAAATGTCATGCCTCTTAAAGCCCCCTCCGTTTATATGCGCCCGGAACACTAAATGGAATCACCACAGTAGTTAAGCAGGCTTGACGAGGACCTTAAGGCTTTTAATCACTAGTTACGTTGGATAAAGGAAAAAACATTATGATAACTGAACTAAAGCTACTTTCTTTCCAGGTTTTTGATTCACGTGGTCGTTTCTTGTTCAATTTCGGCCGCAAGGGTAGTCAGGACGGGGAATTAATGCGACCCACAGGGGTAGCCGTGGGGCACGATGGAAATATCATAGTGGCCGATAGAGACAATCATCGTATTCAAGTCTTCTCTAGCGAGGGGCGTTTTATCACAAAGTTTGGTACCAAGGGGGACGGAGACGGGCAGCTAAATGATCCTCACGGCCTAGCATTGACGCCAGAGGGAAATATAATTGTCGCAGACTTTCGTAATAATCGTGTTCAATTGTTCGGGCAACCGGCGTAAAAAGTTAACCTTTGCAACGTTCATTTACTGCTAGAAGTTCCACACACCGGAGAAAATTAGTCACCTGGCCAATGGAGAAAAAAAGACAGTATCGTATATTGCCTTATTTGGAATGCGCATCGTCATTGGCTCGCTGTCGGCACCGTGATTGGTTGGCCATGGGCACGTGTTCCAAATGTTTTACCATTTCATTCCTTTAGTAGTTTACTTCCGGACCGTTGAGATGTGAAGTAGCTGTTGAATTTAACTGGTTTATTACAGTCCCTCAACAGCAGGTGCTGTATACTTTGTTAAACTATGAAAATAGTGTCGCGTATTAAATTCGTGGGCTCATCGGTGCTGCTTCTCTCCCTCGCTGATTTTAATTGCGTTACCTCTCTTCGTGCATCATTCTAGAGTTTGCAACTGCGCTTGAAGGCGAAAGATGATCTCAGTTCACACGTTTCCATATAGCCAGAAAAAATTCAGGTGAAGTTGCGCGACCCTCGGGTTTCCATCCGCGCGTGGGAGAGCCTCCCTATCGGTTTTTTCTTGGCGCAAAAAATCACAGCCAATCAGATGCATTGGATTTTCTCCTTAAGGAATTTTTTGGCTCAAATTTCAGCTGCCTCTTTCGCAGTGGACCAAAGAAGCGCTTGTCCGCGCATGTCTTAATACGCGGACGGTTTTCTCCCTCATTTCCACAGTACTTTTTAAAACGTTATTGTATATAATATGCAAATTAATTTAACTTTATCTGTTTCCTTTCTTTATTCTTATCTATTAATAGTTACAGTAGTCTGGTTTACGTATTAGGTTCTTGTGAGTTCATAATTATTTTCCTTGATCATTTACATTTTTTCATTATTTTAATTAATTGGACTCTTCTGCAAACCACTTTGTAATTTAGATTTCCTCATTAAAGATTAACGCATTTAAATTTCTAAAATTTAAATTGTACACTTATTATTATTTCAAGTTACTTTTATTGCCTCAGAATTCATATATTTTGTATTATTTTTTAGCCTTTGGCATACTTTTATGAGGGTTAGTGTAGTGTAAAAAACAAGAATTTTATTTCAATCAATTCGTTGAACATTATCTTTTTCAGCATTTCTTTGTTTACTCATCACCGTTTGGAATATCGAAATGACGTTTGGATTTTAACTGCTCATCCAACACGCCCTTTCGTTGAGTTAATTCACCGATTGAAAGTAATTTTGCTTAAATTTGTATTAATTATTTTTTGCTGTTTGTAAGAGGATATTTTTATTTCATATTTTGTTATCAAGAGTTTCCTGAACTTTAGAGGAGTAGTAACTTACTTTTTAAAAATTACTAAAATTAGCTATTAGTATCAATAATGCCGCTGGCCTATGTTAGTTCAACATCAAGCCAAATGACCATTTGTAAATCAGGCTTACGGCACAATCACCCGATTGGCGACTTTTTAGTTTTACGAGAGTACAATTGTAGTTGGAATTTTTTTTCTAATATCTTTTCTGAACGCTTTCCTAGCGGAAACAACAACTGAACCCGTTTTAGTTCAATTTTAAAACTGATTCAATTCAAGTTTTATTATCGTTTAAAATCCTACTGTTAGAACAACCTCATATCTTGTTGAAAACTTCCTGTGACTGGAATAGCAATGACAATTATAACACGTAATCTGAAAGCGCCACTTTGTTTCCGAGGTTAGGTCTATCGTCCACACTTACCCGTCACGAAAACGGAACTTTTCGAAAACGCCCTTCAAACCGGAGAGATTTCAAAACGCCGGCTTTGAATTTAAGTATCGACGGAAAACATTTTGAAAACGGATCTTTTCGAAAACGATGACGTCACGATAACCACGTGATTTCCCTGCCCGAGTCACGACCGGTGCTTGTTGCGTTGAGAAATTTCTCGGGCGTAGTGTGAACCGGGAAAATATTCGTGAAAACGCCGTTTTCAAATTTCTCCGGCGTAGTGTTTACGGGGCCTAAGCAGTGACGAAGCATGGTGCTTTCTAACCTTCCTTTCACTGTACTGATTTGATTTTATGTCAAACCGCTAGAAACATTGTGAAGTAATAGCCTTGAAATTACAAGAAGTAAAGTTTCATCAAAGCTTTTGAGAGAGAACAATTTATAATTAACCATTTCCAAATTCCGCACAAATTCTAATATATTGTGTTTGTACTGCAAAGTCAAAAAAATGTAATTTGAAAAGTAAATTCGTTTGCTTTTCAGCTATTTGATGTCTTTACAAATTAAGACTTTGATAAATACACCTGTATCATAATTTAGGTAGAACAATGCTTAGTCAATAAACAGAAATGCGAAGTAAAGCGTTGCCTTTTAGCTAGATCCTACTTCTAAAGCTCTGGCCAAACGATCGCAATATTTCAACGCAGAATATCGCAAAATTGTTGGGCGCCACATGTTGAACGCGTTTGGCCACCCTACTGCGACGCGTAGCGACATTTGCTACATATTGGGTGTTGCAAATCGAACTAGTGCGCATGCCCTGGCGTAACATTGTTGCACGAACCTGGCCAAATGAGTACAACATCATGCAACATCCACAACTGATGCATGAAAATTTGACCATTTTCAAACTTGAGCCAACATCACTCAACACGTCGCAACAGGGTGGTGAAACACGCGCAACATGTTGCGCCCAACAACGTTGCGATATGTTGCGTTGAAATGTTGCGATCGTAAGATCTTCCCTTGTTATAGCAGGGGTTGAGGTACTCCCCTATTAATATGATGGGTGTGGTCGTCGTTCCTACTAGTCCGTCCACGCACAGACCCTCCATTTTGTCGTAAGTTCGTCGAGATCGCAATGAGTCGAAAACTGTTTGATCACTTATTCAACACAAACAGCTTATTCAATTTTTATTTGTCAGAATTTATACCAGTCATACATTTAATGCCTTAACTTACGTTTCTGTTCGATTGTCCTGAATGGGTCTCTTTTGGCAGTTACTCTTTCTCGGGTTGTTCCATGGATGTATTTTGGTACAACATTGTAAGTTGTGTGGTATTACCAAAAGTTACCACTTCGCAGACGGACAAGAATTGTCGATGTGATTACCTATCAATACCGGACCTAACGCAGCTCGTATCGTGCTCTTGTCGTAATCCTACGCTTTCCAAACTGTTTAGAAGCAGCCTGCGTAGCAAGCGTTCCGGTACGAGCAAAGAGATTCTGGCCTGTTGGTCGCGCGAAAATTGTGGAAAAAAGTCGACAGAGACGGGGGTACGGAATGCGAAAAAGAGCCTTATCCTCTGTACGGGAATGCTTACTACGCGGGCTGTGTTAGCAGTTGCTTACGAGATGTTTTACTGCTGTAAAAGCGGATAAAAAAGTCAGGTTCAAGATGACTAAAAACACGATAATCGCGTAACATCAGCATTTACATAGCGCTTAACAGTAAATTGATAAAATTTTCACTCTTTGTCAATACAGTACCTTTCAATTCAATTTCAACAAGTTAAAGGGCAGCAAGACGGTTTTTATAGCAACCATTACCTTTGATCATTTATATTAGTATTGTCTCTGTTTCATTCATGACTATTTTAAAACTTTTCAACTCCCGAAAGATCAACAGCTCACTTCTCCATAAAATCAGTGGCGTGACGCACGTGACAGGAAGAGGGGTAGAGCTAAACAGGTAAATTTCATATTCTCATTTTCATGTCATTCAGTGATTGTCAAATCCAGGCATTGGGAAACTTCTGGCAAAGCTCTCCACCTCTCCCCTGAGAGTATCAATCTTTGCTTTGATTTCTGTGTTGGAATCAATGTGCGAGAGGAAGTCCTTCATAACGTCACCTTGAAGGAGGAAGCGAGAAACGAAAAAACAAAACAGTAAATAAAAGCATTTCTCAGCTGTTATTAGAAGTCGCAACAGAATAGTTATAAGCTTCAAAGATATGGGCACAAATTGAAGTTGATTTCAAAGCATTGCAGACATCATCGATGTCTCCTTAATCATAATTCAACTGTTTTGTCACTAGTTTGTGGTCTTCGGTCAAATTTGAAATGGCTGCCACCATAATGTGAAACACCACCATTGTATAACAATCAAATTATTTCAATTGATTTAATTTCTAAACTAATTACACCGGTCTGTAAACCTAACATACTGGGCAAACGATTGTACAGGTCACCTATAACTGCAAGGGGAAATACACAATTGTGTTTCAGTTTTTTAGACATCTGTGCCCTAAGACTAAGTCAAAGAATGAATATAAGATATGTCTGTGAGACAGAGATTGAGTCGAGAAAGCGACAGGCTTCCCCAATCCTCCGTGGGAAAAAAGATGGCGACTGGTACATTTACCGATAGTTCTTAGTGCACTTAAACCTAAACAACGTTCATAAAAATGTTCAGAAACGTTATAAAATCTTCAAACCTAGGCTACTTAATATCCTTAGTGCAGGGACAAATATTGTAATTATAAAGCTTTCTTTGTGCCTTTAGGGCTGTGTTAGCTTCGCGAGGCATTGTGGTAAAATGTACAGCCGCCATCTTTTTTCTTACGGTGGATTGGTACCGTCCTCTCACAACAGACCTGTACTTTCTTACCTGTTGCGCTTTGCGCCTCTAAAGCAATCTTTACTCCTCTGTCAAGGTACTCCACAACTTTAACAAAGTCAGCTTCTTTAAAATTGCGAGATGTTAAAGCGGGTACTCCTACAAAACAAAGGAATGAGTGATCAACTCTTAACTTCTCCTCACAGTATCACTGCATTGTAACGCAGACAAGTGATGAAAATAAAGAAAATCATCAGCTTATGATGTTGTCTTGATATAGCACTAAATTCTCAGAACCGCAAATAAAAGAACTTATAGCAATCAGCGGGGAGAGTTGCTACTTTGACATATTTACTTTGTTCACGAACAGAAGAATTTGCAACTGTAGTATCACTAGCAAAGTCGCGCTATCAAACTTAGGTTCAGTCCACACTACGCCGGAGGAATTAAAAAACGCAACAATCACCGGTCATTTTGGATTTGGGTTTGAGGAAAACTCGGTCAGGGAAATCACATGGTTATCGTGACGCCATTGTTTTCGAAAAGGTCCGTTTTCGAAATGTTTTCCGTCCACACGAAGACGAAAAGCCAGCGTTTTCAAATTCCTCCGGTTTGAAGAGCGTTTGAAGGCCTAACTGTAGAAATAAAGCTACGTTTTCTAATTTCTCCGGGGAAGTGACGGGGCCTCAGTAAACGTTAACATGCATAATCTAATGATGGACGCTCATGGTTTGAGGAAAGTTAACTTTGTTTCGTGAGAAAAATTTATTTCCATTGGAAATGCTATGAAACATTTCAAAGCACGGTTAGAATTTTGAATTGCTAAGTGCAGATATGTTTTTCAAAGGCTAACGAATTTGCACCGTGTTCNCTGAGGCACAAAGTCATGGATCCTTCATCTGTCATGTTGGAACTAATCGGAGGCACATCTAGAGCTGCTCCAAAATGATCACAGATTGACCCTCTTACTAGGCTCAAAAAACAGAAAGTTGGGGAGGACAGTGGTGCTGGAGTGAAAGTTGATGTTTCTGTCTTCAATGCGGAAAAGAGGGACAAAACACTTTATACCTTTAAGCTTTCTATTTTTCACAATTTTATGAGAATCCTCTCCCTTCCCCACAACCGCCCTATATCTACCATGGTGTTTCATAATATGGATTATTATCCAACTGCAGCAAATATGATCCAAATAACAATCCAAATATATAGCGATATTGTACAGTTATTTGTACAGTAGAAAACCTGTTTGCTGTGCAGGTCGGCGCTTGCATGCGAAGCTGTCACACTCTACCCCTTTCATTGATAAATTTATTGACTACAACAGCTGGATAATAAATCTCTTACTAGGTGTTTTGGTATGTAGTATCGCTTTATATTTTTACTTGTTGTTTGTATTTTGACCCGCCCTACAGGCTCGTCAAAATACGGCACAACTCGCAAAAAAAAAAAACAAAAAAAAAAACAATACTACACACCAAAACATCTAATAAGATATATTGCCTGCTTACCTGAGCAGCTACAAGACCACTTATATGTGCCATATCTGCCAGTAAAACAGCTTTATGCTCATCAGCAATCTGAAATACAAAAGAACTCAACCATTACCAACAGAGCATTTAATTATTAACAAATAGCCCAATTTTGATATATTAAAATTCAACCTAGCACAATAGACCTCAGCATGAGGCTCTGGGGAATAACTACAGAGTTTGTGGGGTTTATTCCCCAGAGGTCTATTGTTTTAGGCTGAATTTTAATATATCGAAATTGGTCTATTAACAACACAACTTGTAAAGACTGTCATATATGTATTTGCCAAGTCACTGACTTTAACTAGTAATAGAGGGTCAATCAACTATTACACATAACTTTGCACAACTTTTAAGTCTCAAGGATTACAAGTTAAACAAAGGGTGTGTATGATCTGAAGAACAGCGTGTACCAGACAAACTTGCTAACTCTGTTTCCCACTTAAGTCTGATGCCTCTTGGCCTAAAACTAGTTCTTCAAAAAAATTCACAAAAATTTCTCAGATTTCAATTAAACACATGTACCTACAAACTGTAAAGCAAGGTATAGATTGATCAATATTAATCTGAACAGTTGAAAGATGTCCAAAGCAAGACAAGTACCTTTCTCATTCGCTCATATTCATAAAGCCTTGAGTAAGCACTAGCCCCAGCAATGATCATTTTAGGGCGGAAAAGACGAGCAGTTTCTTCTAATTTGTCATAGTCAATCAAGCCTGTCTCCTCCTAAAAACACATTCAAACAAATTGTTAATAAATTACTTATTGACAATCACGAGTACATAACATGCAGGCTTTCTTAATGTCTACAAGCACCAACATGGGATTATTTATTAAAATTTGTGTTGTGGTGGGTGCAAATAATACACCAAACCAACCAAGTGCTAATTCATGGACCTTGTCCTACAAATACCTATAGTACTACTAACTGCTACAGCTGCTGTTACTACAACAGTACCGCTCCTCCTGCTGCTGCTATTGTTACTGCTACACATTCAGGGGAGGGGCCCAGGGAGCCTGGGACCACCTATGTTGGGTAAAAAAAATCGCAGAAGGAAGAAAAACCAGCAGGACAAGCAACCCCCCCGCCCGCGCCCGCCTTAGCTCGAGGTCTGGATCTGCCACTGACATTCCCACCATTTTTCCCACGTAGAGAAATAGGAATTGATGATTGATGATTTCCACATCATTTTATTGCTGAAGGCTACTTACATTCAGTCTGTATGGCATTGACTCAAAATATATTGATGTTGCAGAGATCCTCTTGGTGTCAGTCATAAAGCCATGGGTTAAACTGGAATAAGAGATCAGACAAATAGCAGTGTCTCGTGAGTGTCCAGTTAAATTTATCTGTTGAGTCTACCTGTTGAGGCTTTGGAATTTAACAGGTCAAATGGCACACCAATGGCATGACTTTAAATTCTAGATTCTACTTTGAAGAGACAAGTATTGCTTCTCGCACTGGAAAAGATTTTAGTTCATCAATAATTGATGAACTAAAATTATTGTTATAACCCAGTATCAAATACATTTGTCAGATTGCACCAACATTTATGTATCCATTTCTAGACCTGGACATAAGAGAGAGGTGTCTTGTCCAAGAACAAAAGGCACTTGAGAGCCATACCAGGGTTGAAACTGGACTATTTAATCCAGAGTACAACACAAGGGACACAAGGCCATCACACCCCCTTTTCAGAGCTAACGTTAAAAACAAATATTCATAGCAATCAGTAAGCTGAGTTTAAAACTTGAAATTGTTTGAGCCTGGAACTGATTGAATAACTACAGACTGAGATATATGCCATGAGTGTACAAATGATTAAGGTTTATGCAAAACTTACTGTCCCCCATGGGGCAGGTCAAGCCCCATTATTCTGTCATGTGGCTTCAACAGGCCAGTATAGGCAGCAAAATTAGCAGGAGACCCTAAGGTACAAGCAAATTGAATCTAAACACATGCATTCTACTTTGAAACTGGGCACTGGATACTGTATGTCAGGGCTTGAAAAAACACTTGAATTCCAGGTTGCCCTTGGGACAAGCAGCTCTCAAATTTTGCTTGTCCTGGGCTAGTCTTAGTTGGCTCTTTCAGTGATTTAGTTGGCAGACAGCTTGCCTGATCTGTTGCCCAGCAGGCAAGTGACAATGAAAGATTACTTGCCCAGCAGGAAAATCTTCTTGTCCTGGACAACCAGAAGGCACTTTTTTCGAACCCTGTATGTATGAATCAGTTATAAGAATGACCTTTTTCAGAGACATCCAAGAATGAACTGATACCAAAGGCGCAGCCTCAATTGTTTTGAGGTTTTGGTGCAACCTGGTCATTAATTTGTTGGATTGAATTTTGAACCAAGGAAAAAAAAATTGTCAGAAGATGGTGCATCTATTTACACAGGCTACACATTAATTAAAATTAAAGACATATTACATTAAACATTTTTTAGTACACCACTAAACTTGAGCCTGCACTAACGGACACCTCTCTACAATGGCTATTTTCCTCTGTCCCCAAGGTGGCCATTGCAGAGTGGTTCAACTGTATATACCTGAGTATGGTTGTACGTTTACACCCCACTCATTTGGATCAAGGTGAAAGGCCTCCAGTGCTCTCTTCTGAACAAGTCGTTCAATTTTATCAATAATTTGTGTCCCTCCATAGTATCTGTCAACGGCACAAAGAAAAGAAAGATAAATTAAAGCAAGTGGAAATGAGTTTCTCAAACAGATCAAAACAAAAGGAAAGAAGATACCAGAAATAGAAAATGTAATCAATATACAACTTTAATCAGTGAAGATCCTGGTATCCTACCTTTTGCAATCAATAATAATTATTGTTAGTAAAATATTGATATTTTCCAGTGAAAGAACAAACTCCGCTTGTTATATATTGTTCAAAAGATTACTCAGTCACATTATTTTTATCATATTTACCTTTGTCCAGGGTACCCTTCAGAATACTTGTTATTCAAACAAGATCCCATGGCTTCCAAGGCAGCTCTACTGCAGAAATTCTGAGCCAGAAAGGTAAAAAGGACATTATTTAAACAAAAACAAGATACTCAATTGCCAGTTGTGATTATATCACAATTTTTTAATACCTTCACACAAAAAAATTCAAGTAGACAGGTTAAGAGAATGAATGATTTAATCATCGAATCTCCATATAAAGAAAACATTAATTTTGTTTAATGGAACGTTTTCAGCAGGACAGCAAGTTCTGGCTCTCACAGGCAGGCAAAACATTTTGAACTGAACTATTTATAGAGAAAACTTTCCGTCATTGCCAATTCAAACCAGGCAGGAAAAATCATCCTCAAAGCCCGTCAATTTGCTTGGATCCCAGCCCATAATGAAACCACTGTATCATGCACATCTGACATTAGCTGCATTATCTTGACGATCATACCTCAGATGCTATGAGTTCCAGTCCCCTAACTTGTCGGTCTTTTTCCTGTTTGATCAAGTCATTCATCTCGGGGTCATCATCTTCTAGTGTCTCCTGGCCTGTCCAAATAGTGGCCCTTACTGCAGAGGATCGGTAAAGTGACTGTAGGGTTGTGTTGCCCAAGAGAATGTCCCAGCAAGGCTATAAACAAATATGAGAATCGCGTTCTTTAATTAGTGCTTCAAGGACTTGTTTTTCAGTATTTTCCCTTTAGAATAGGTTGTGTCTTGAGTATGAAGTGACAAGCAGTAATTGACATTCCAACTGGATGGTATGCTAATCCATCATAGACCATTCTATATTCTCTTTACTTTACAAGGACTGCCCTGTGATCATTGTAATATGGATTGGGTGGCAGGGATGGTGCAATGGTGAGAGCACTCACCTTCCACCAGTGTTGCTCAGATTTTTATCTCCAGCTTACTGTTATAAGTTGATTGATTCTGGTGTTGGTTCTTATCCGTGTTCGAAGGGTTTTTCTCTGGGTTTTCCAGTTACCATCCCACCATGAAAACTAACACTTCTAAATTTCAATTTGATCTGGAAAAAGTGGACAAAGAGCCTTATTTATTGCTAAAGAAAAAGCCGAGTGACGCTTATAGTATTGCTTACAAACCAGTTTCCTTTGATCATTACGGCTGTTACAGTCAGTAAAAAAAAAATAGCCTCAAAAGAGGACCTGGATCAAACAAGGATGCAGTGTTTCCTGGTATATTTATCATGCACGAAGCAGTGACCTCTCTAATCTCTCAGTCTGGAGAGCAGTTTCTATAAGAACACTGCAATAGAACTAAAGCAAATCTCAGGGAAAGCTGCAATTACATGTACAGTTGCCGTAGAGTTGTTCCCATGTTAACACAAAGGTTGCTGTCTGATAATAGTCAATTTTCTACATCACGCGACGCTAACTGTTTCTGTCGCATGGTAGCGTGGCACTTAAGTACAGATTGCATAGGCAATAGGTCACATACTGATTTAAGGGTAACAAAGAATAATTTATTATAAGCTAAATTTTAAGGCTATGGAATACAGTAAGGTTTAGCGACTCAAGAATATAACCGCAGTATTGTTGCAATTAAATTTCATGGAATGTATAAGCCACTAATGTGAGAGCTTTAATTCAAAATGGAATAAGTGTTGAGAGTGTAACCTTGTAAAATAGATTGGAAGAGAAATAAATGCATCCATTGAAAGATTCAGTCCTTTGATTGTGGACCAGCACCAGGAGATATCCCTGAACAGTTGCTGAACGTTTTTCAGCGATTCTATAGCAATCACAGCGATTGCAGCAGTCATATGGAAACCAGGCCTCAATTGTCTTCCTCAATAAATCAAGACAAGTCCCTCGGGGGGAACATGCTTAAGTATATACACTGGATGCACTTCCCATCCAGAATTCCCCCTCCCCCTCTCCCTTTATCAGAATCAAGTAAT